TTGTAAGAAAACCGTAGCTTCTTCAACATCTTCATTCGATTCGGCCAAACTGGCCCTTCGAGCCGCACGTCGACATCATTCGAACGCCCTTGCGCGGGTGTCGGGGGGTCACGCTCCGTGCCAAATTATACAATGCTGGCCGCTCTCGCGCGTCGGCCGCTCGCGCATGTCGAGCTCGTTCCAAAACCTGCATCACCGACGTGACGGCGCCGTCATCGTCGTCGGCGTGATCAGCATCGGCGCCGTCACTGGCCTTGTCGTCGTCGTTGTCACCATCGTCACCACCATGGCTACTATCATCATCGCGTCTACCGTTGACGACGTTGCCATGATACCGCGCCCGCCCAAGTCGCCGGCTCGCAGTGCAGTGCCCGTTGTGAAGTGCCCAGCGGTCAGCGCCACCGCGGACGCGTCGGTAACGCCAAAGTTTCTGGCCGCTGCGCGCGCGAGCATCCTCGAGCGCGGCCATTGAGATGTATCAGTCAACAACAATCACTTTTGGCAATCGCCGCCGCATGGGTTTTCAAAACTAAGTTGCGGGTGGGTGGGTGGGATGATTGCGCCAGCAGTGGGGTGGACAACTCACTGCGAACACACATTACTTGTATAACGTATGCTGCGCCACAAATGCTGCACCACATGATTTGCCCCACGTAGGTTGCATTACGCATACTGGACAACTTATTTTGTACCACACAGAGTGCGCAGCATGTGTTGCACACCATTTATTGCACATCGTAGATTGTACACCGTTGATAGCATAACATCAACTGTGCAACGTAGGGTGCTCCACATAGAACGTGCCACTTAAAGTGTTCCACATTGGTAACACTACATCGATTACAAAACCATGCTGTTTGGATCACATGTGGATGTTTCGCGACGTCGGATTTCACGGATGGGGGTGATGGGAGGAGGGGGAGCGGGAGAAGGAGGAGGAGGAGGAGGAGGAGGAGGATGGTGTAGGGTTCCAGAGGGATATTCCAGGGGCTGCCAGGGCGTGCGGAAGGGCGTAGGATGGGCCAGGGCCAGGCGGGGGGACGGCAACGAGGACAGGGGCGCGCGGTCACGAGCGTGTGCCGCGCCTTTTTATAGGGTGGGGAGGTGTGCTGGGGGAGGGGGAGGGGGCACAACTCATGTCACGCTTCACGAATGCGGGGCGGGGTGTGGGTGAGGAGAGGCTCCTTCTCCGAGCCAGAGCTTGCCGCCTCTGTCTCAGCTTCAGCACGTTCGCCGACTGCCTGTCTGGATGGGCGGGCGCGATCGAGAGAGGGAGGGGGCATCAGCCTGCCATTGTGCCACTTGGGGTCTCTTGCGACCGAGAGAGCCTTTCCCGCAGTACGCCGCGGGCTGGGGCGCGGGCGGCCGCGACGTCTCCTCGCCGCCCGTTTCCGACGGAGCCGCGGCGCGGGTCCTTTTTCTCAGGGGGATGACGAGGAGGAGGGAGACCAGACTGGGGATGATGAGTGGTGGTCGTGGTGATGATGGTGATGATGCTGATGATGATGATGCTGATGATGATGATGACAATGATGACGGCTAAAGCCATGAGGATGCTAACGATGATTGCCGGCTACGGTTGCGACGATGATGGCACCGATGGTGACGACGATGTGACTGATGATGATGAGGATGATTCCAATGGGGATGTTGAGGAGGAGGAGGAGGAGGAGGAGGAGGGGGGAGATGGTGAATCTCATAATGATGCGGATGATGATGTTGTTGAAGATGATGATGACGATGACGAGTGCCATGTTGATGCGGCTGGTCATAGTCTGTGGGCTGTTGTTATTGTGATAGGTTCAATGATGATGCCAAGTGGGTCGAGCGGGATGGCAACGATACCAACGAGGGTGATGATGATGATGATGATGCTGATAATGGTGATGGTGATGGTGATGATGACGACGACGACAACGACGCGACGACGTCGACCATGATAATACTTATGACGATGATGCGGATGGTTCTGCTGATGATGCTGATGATGATAATGATGATGCTGATGATGATGGTGATGATGAGGATGACGATGATGATGATGCTGATGGTGATGGTGATGGTGATGATGCTGCTGATGTTGATGTTCATGCTGACGATTATGATGATGATGATGATGATTCTGATGATGACGATGCTGCTGATGCTGGTGATGATGCTGCTGATGATGATGATGGTAATGATGTTGATACGGATCATGATGCTGCTGATGACGATGATGATGATGATGATGATGATGATAGTGATGCTGATGATGATGATTTTGATGATGCTGATGCTGATGATGATTCTGCTGATGATGATGGTGATGGTGAGGATGCGGCTGATGATGATGATCCTGATGGTGACGATGATAATGATGATGATGATGATGATGATGAGGACCATGCTGATGTCTATGATACTGATGCTGCTGATGATGATGCTGATGATGATGATGCTGTTGATGATGATGAGGATGCTGCGGCTGCTGATGATGACGATGGCGATGACGATGGCG